TGGCTTGTGCCACTGAGGGGGTCAGACTGCATAACTAAGGACATCTTCTTATCCCATGAATCCATGATTTTAAGATCTCTTCCTGCAAACACTCTGCACACATGTTTAATAATAAGTATCTGAATGGTGATGTTAACTTCACTGACTGTTGTGGAAAGGGTTTATAACGTCTCTGTCAGATGAAAGAGCAAATTTTGTGCTACATGTCTGTGAATGAAGACTAAAGGTTTTAAATACAGCAGCCTGCATTTAACCTACATCCGTGTTCAGGCAGATGAATATGTGGCTTGTTATCAGAAACACTGGGTGCTGAGAACTAAATCCCATTGTTGCAGATGCAGTAATGTTGTAACTCAAGCCAGGTATGGAGAGAAATGAATATGGATTTGGGATCTGACTCCTGTTTATGGAATATCTAGACTAAAACTTTTGCCCACAATGGCAGAGTCTAACACGTGTGTCACTAGGGACAGAGTCTGCGGAGAATGGGGGTGTGGAAAGGATTAAAGCCCCTTCTGAAATGTCTCCAATTCTTCTTCTCCACCTGCCAGGCTGCAGAACACCCATGACTGTCTCCAGCTCAGCCCCCAGCCTACAGAGCCAGGGACAGGAAATGGCCATGGTAGAGCCGGTGAGCTTCGAGGAGGTGGCTGTGTATTTCTCTGAGGATGAATGGGCTCTGCTGGACCCGGGCCAGAGAGCCCTCTATGGAGATGTGATGCAGGAGAATTATGAGGCTGTGAACTGGCTGAGTAAGGATTCCTGTTTCCTTGGGTAACAGAAGCTGGGTTTGGTTTGTTGGGTTTGTCATTGCCTTTGCCCACGATGAGTATCTGCCCCAATAATCTTGACACTGTCCCCTCTATGCCCCTCCCAGCGAAAGCAGGTTCAGGGACATAAAAATGGTGCTGCTCTTGCCACAGCTAAGGTCTCACTGCGCTTCCCTCCTATCTTGTCCATCTTATGCCTTGACTGGAGGTGTGAGTAGAAGGGCTCAGGCACGAACAGCACGTACCAGAGTTCTGGATCTGGGTCTGGCTGCTCTTAGTGCCTGCAGGGTCCCCTTGTGGCAGTGTGCTCAGCCACTGGAAGGAGGGTGCAGCTCCCAGAGTGCTTCCTGCCTATAACTAATGTCTGTGACAAGCTGCTACTTGCCAGTGGCTGGAGCTGAGGGAGGGTGGATGAGACAGTTTGCATTCTGCACATATTTTGTCCGAGGAAACTCTCTAGTAGATAGATGTGAGCAGAGCTCTCCTTGCATTTTATGCACAGGTTGGGTCTCCTTTCAAAAGTTCAGCTTCATTCTCCCTGGGGCTCACTTACCTCTGTGTGCAGTGGAGATAAATCACGACATCTGTCTTGTTTTTTTAGTGTGAAATACCTTCGGGTAGGGACTTTTTCTTCCTGTGTGAATGTCTGGCTTTATGTTCAGGAGACCTGCGTTTAGTTCTCTGCCCATCTCAGACTTCCTGTGTGACCTTGATTAAGGCCCTTAGACTCTCTATGTGCAGTCACCTCTCTCTTTAATAGCTATTATAGAGTGTCTTTGTTTCTCAGGGCTGGGAAGGATACCTACATTAAAGAGGGGTGATGCTTAGCTCCGTATGAGCACCCCAATAGCACAGTGGGGTCCTGATTTACACCAGAGTTCCCACGTGCTGCTGTGATTGTTAATTTTG